CGGCACGGCACGGCCCAGCCCGGAGCAGCCGGGGACGGGCGCTCGGTGGGGAGTCAGGGACTCCAGGGTCCGTCAGAGCCGGATCTGATTCCCCGTGTTCCCACATCCCTCCGTCCCTGCCCTTCTTCATCCCCGCATCCCTCGCCCCTACATCCCTGCATCCCCGCATCCCTCCATCCCTTCACCCCTACATACCTGCATCCCTTCCCTTCTTCATCCCTGCATCCCCTTGCCCCTACATCCCTTCCCCTCTTCATCCCTGCATCCCTTCCCCCCCTATATCCCTGCATCCCTATGTCCCCACATCCCCACATCCCTCAAGCCCTGCAGCCCCTCCTGGGCGTCACAGACAGCCCTGCCCTGCCCTCGGCACCTGGGAAGGGCAGAGAGGGATTTCGGTGCCGGATTTAACAGGATTTTGAGAGGCCTGGATCCCAGAGAGGCCAAGCAGGGCAGTTCCCAGCCTGCAGACCGGTATGAAACCCCGCAGAGCCCTGACACCCCGCACCACACTGGGGACGGGGGGGCCTGATCCTGAATGTGCCCTGGCCCGGGCTGGGGCCAGCCCTGGGATGCTGCTCTGTGAGCAAGAGCAACACTTGACCGCTGCCAGCAATTTTTTTCCCAGCAAATCCCCGCCGTGTGCTCAGCCCCCGCTGACCCCTGCCCCAGGGACGCAGCATCCCTGGCCCGGCACGGTTCAGCCACCCCTGCACAGCCACGGCCCCGCTGTCCCGGCCACAGCCCACACTGACGCTCCTCGGCCATGGGCTCGGGGACTGGAGAGGAACAGACTGCCCTGTCCGCAGCTCCACCACCCCTGGGGCAGGCAGAGGAAGGGGGTGCTGTCGCTGTGCCCTGACATGGGGAAACTGAGGCACGGGCCAATGCAACATGCAGCACACAGATGGGCCGGGACTGGCAGAGAGACGAAGCATCCTGCGCCTGCCCTTGCAAGCTCAGCTGGGGTCAGAATTATCCCTGCCTTTGCAGCCAGCTTTGCAGCCTGCCTTCTCCCTGCGGCCCTGCTGCCGCGGGGCTCACGACAGACCCTCGGAGCCCGCTGTGGGCCAGGTGACACCTTACAAGCAGCTTTGGCCAGCAATGGAGAAAAACCCACAAGAGAGCTCGGGGAGAAGGGGGAAATGGGGGTTACCTGCCAGGGCACCCGCTGCGTGGTCCTCGGGCTGATGACCCACCCGGCTCTGCGCTCTGGCTCAGCACCTCCATCCCCGCCACCCTGCTACACGGGGCTGTGACAGCCCCCACGCCCCAGGAGCAAGGACTGGCAGGCGGGGTGGCAGGTCCCCACGGGGCTCAGGGCATCCCCATGGCTCCGTGCATCCATGGCGGTACCTGTAACACAGAGCCGACATCAGGCCCGAAAGTATCCCGCCCGGAAAAGCGCCCTTCTCATCCCCGCGCTGCCAGGCGGGCAGCAGCACTGCGCAACGTTTCCAGCAGCCTGGTTTCATTTTTTTTTACAGGAAAAAGTTGCTTTGGGACCCAGGGCTGCGGGGGACCAGACCTTTTTGGCCACCTCCCCCTTCTCTCCACCCCTTCCTTGAAATTTTCTAGGATTTTCATCAAAGACTTTGAAAAGCTCCAGGTTCCTCAAACATCACATTTTTCTGCTTTAAAAGGCTCAGGTTTGGTTGCAGAAAACAAATATATATATAAAAAGAGAGAGAGAGAGATGTATATATAAATGCAGAGATTCTGTGTGTCTGTGCATGGCTGGGGGGTTGGTACAACTCCCCCGGCCACCAACAATTTTTTTAAATCTTATTCCACAAGAAAAAGCATCCCAGGGTCCCA